GCTCCCCTCGAGTTCCAACCGAGCCCAGACAGTCCTGCCTCTCCCGTTTGAATCTGCGTCCCCAGCGACTCACCCGGATCTGGAGCTCAAAGTCCACGACTCCCTCCCAATTGTAAACACTCGCGCCCTCCGCGCCGCCAGCCCCGCTCCGCGCGCACTCGGTACCTGAGAATTTCACTTCAGCACTGCGGCCCCTCTGAGTCTGGATATAATATTCTCTTTACTCCTAGTTGTAGAATTTCCACTCAGCCAGCCCGCCTGTGTTTCTGGATGTTGTGGGTCCCTGGTTCAAGCTTAATTTGAATTGGTTGTTCAAGGCGGCAATCTCCGGCGTTAACCTATGCTGCCATCTTCGGTTCTCCCCCAGGAATTCTTAATCCTGTGATTTAATTTTATATGAAAATGTAACTATTTAAATAACGAATCAGCTACTGGATGAGAAATATAGGGAGCAGTTCAGCTACACTGACGATCTCCCAACTAAAGTCAATGCATCAATTCTTATGCACCTTAGACTGAAATTACATCCCCCCCCTGCCCCCCGCACGCCCAGTGCTTGTCCACACATCCTCACATTGCTGGGTCTTTTTCCACTTTTCAGTTTAAATGTCATTTAAAAAAATACATATTTTTAAAATTGATTTTAGAGAGGAAGGGAAAGGGAGAGAGAGATAAACATCAATGATGAGAGTCATTGATTGACTGCCTCCTGTATGCCCCACATTGGGGATGGAGCCTGCAATCCGGGCATGTGCCGTGACTGTGAATCAAACTGTGACCTTCTAGTTCATAGGTCGATGCTCAACCACTGAGCCACACCGGCCAGGCTTAAATGTCATTTTCCCCCCAAGAGGCTTCACCTGGCCACACAGCCTACAATTCTCTTCTAGTATTCATCAACAGAGTACCAAGTTATTTAGTTTTTCACTTTACCCCATTGGCAATTAAATATTTATTTGTACCTTTTATCTTGGTTTCTTGGTCTCCGTTGATCAAGTTGGAGATGAGGCAAGAGAAGACACTATGAGCTTCTCATTTAAATTACAAACTTTTCCTGCATCTTTGGGCGCCTCACCCCATCTATCATAGGGCTGGGTAGTGCCTCCCCTGCAGGATCTTGTCACGATAAAACTAGGTGGTGTGGTTGTAAGATCAGAAGCAAAAAATATAATAGATGTGAAGGTTCGAAGGCTTGAGCTCAAGTCTAAGCTTTGGTACTCACTGTCATTGGATAGCTCTCTTAATTCTTCTAGGCCTGAGTCTCTTCATCTGCAAAATGCAGGACCAGCCTGAATGGCTGCCAGTTTGTCCCTTGGGCACACAGTGGCATCTGTGATGGGCGTGCTGGCATGGAAACATGCCCCGCACAAGCGCCACAGGAAAACTGGTGAAAAAAATTCCCCACTGACATGTGTTCATGTGTTTGACTTTTAGGAAGACGTCCAGCCAAGGACCCATCCAGGTGAGTCTCTGCTTCCTCTTTCTGCACGGACAGTGTAGAAAGATCTATTTTATAAAAGTTAAATGGTCCTCTCTCAGGAGCTTTTTTCATATTAAAATACAGATATATTTTACTAACTTCAGAGAGGAAGGAAGAGGGGGAGAGAAATAGAAATATCAATGATGAGAGAGAATCATTGATTCGCCGCCTCCTGCACACCCCACACTGGGGATCGAGCCAGGCATGTGCCCTGACCGGGAATTGAACCGTGATCTCCTGGTTCATAGGTCAATGCTCAACCACTGAGCCACGGCAGCCGAACCATATTTTTATTATATCCAAAACTTCCACCACACAGTTCCCTCACTGATAACTTGGATAATTCATTTGCTCCTCCTCTTCTTTTATATATTAACAAATTAATTTAAATCCTTTCATCTTCCTAATGTACCGCCTTCACTAAATCTGTAGAATAAGAAAGCTACATTACTTTGACTCACTCGATGCATTCGTTCAGTCAGTTCACCCATATCTGAGGGTCTGCAAATCATTCCATCGAGTGCTGAAAGGCCTGAAAATATATACAAATTTTGAGAGTCGTGAAGTATCATAGACAAATATACATTTCTGTAACACAGGCCAGCGAGTAGTGAACATACTGAAAATCTTCATGATAAAGTTCTTTAGGAGTTTAGAAGAGGGAAAGGTTTTTAGAACGCTTTCCTCTGGGGATATCAATATGTACTTGATGTGTGCTATAGTGTGTTATTGTTTATGCCAACAAAAAAGAGGTGTGTGTCCCTCCCCTCCTAAATCAGAGTAGCATGTACACCCCAAAACAATCATCTTATTTTCTTTCCTCAAGACCCTTGTTCTGCTAGAACATGCTTTCCATGTCGAGGAGTCAATATTTCTCCATTTGGTACCTACTGAGCACCCGTAAGGTGAAAGGCACTATACCGGGTGTGGGCAATGCCACAGTGAGCCAGTCAGCGGGGACCTTACACTTCTGGAATGTACGCCCAGAGATACTCTGCCAAGTCTCACTTGGCCCCTGGACTGGGCTGTGGCTTCTACCATACAGCTGTGCGGATTGCTGGTTTCCCCAGAAATCACTATTCTACTTAGAACTCTTCCCTCTCATTCAGTGTCTTCCTCACAATCTCAGATGGCGGTGTCTGGAATGCTAGCGCAGACGGATAGCACGTGTTTCTGTGTTTGCAGGAGCCCTCCCAGCCCTCCACCCCGAGAATTCACCTACGTGAACGCAACGGCTCTAGTGCAGCAGCAGCCGATATATGAAAATGGTGAGGTTTCCCCATCACCTGGGCCAAGGCAGGTAGAGCGAGCCAGGGAAGCGGTCACGGGGTCATGTCTGCTGGTCCAACCTGGCCCTGCTGTGCTCTGGCCACCTCCCCAAGTAGACGGACCACCCGTCTTTGGGGCTGAGAAGCGGGGTGTCTGAAGCAGCTTAAATGGCAGGAAGAAGGGACTGTGTCCTAACGCCTCCTTTCCCCTCAGTGAATGTTGTCAGTGGAGGTGAGGTTTACTCCCTGGTGTACCATATGCAACAGGAGCGGCGATCAGCGGCAGGTAAGACACGAGGGAGCGCATTTTCCTCTGACTTTTGTCTGCCTGGAACCGAGAGAGGGTTGTGTATAGCTGTGCTCTTTTGTGTGCTCGCTTCTGCCTGTGGTGCTGACTACGCATCGCTGTGCCTCTCTGAGGGCCGGCCTTTGGCCTGGAGCCGGCCTCGAGGAGAACCCGGTGCCTGACGGTGGAGTGCACACCTCACTCTGCAGTCAGGTGCAAGCCCTGGAGAGGTGGCTTCTGCTTTTCTCCGTGAGGAGCCCTATGCACTCCCTGCAGCACCGGACACAGCCGTCCAGTGGCTACTGTTGTCCTACCTGGTACACGGTGGGCCCAGAAATGCTGGCGGATGTAAATGCCAGGAGGGACCTACTTATCCTCCCACCCCCAGGCTGTTACTTTTTCTCTGCATACTAAGGGAAGTGTATTTGTGATAGGCAGAAAAGTGAGCCAAAAATAGTAAGAGAAATAAATCCATGGGCGATAGACCGGAGAGGAAGAAGCCTTTATTAAAACTAACTTAGTGAAGGACTGTAAGTGTAAGTACAACCTCATAGCACGCACCCTTTTCTTCACAGTACCATCCCTGAGGACACAGACGCAGGATAAGGTGAGTTGAAATTCCTCCAGGCTCTTTCTTCTGGGGTCTGGTTGTCATACTTTTAAAATGATGGCCACTAAGGAAAAATGAAAGATCCCATGGTCTATCTTCTCTTTTGTCTTCTTACACAGTGGGGAGAAAAACATTCAGTCATAACAACGAAGTGTCACTGTAGAAGGACATTTGGGAGGCTTGCGTATACATGTATTTTGACCATGGACATATGGGTGACTTGGGACTAAACTGTAGTATTTACCCGGTCTAAAATTTTTATTTAAAAATCTTTGCACTGAAATACTGTTAAGCTGTACATATATAACTTTGTGCCTGTAAGGTTAACTAAACAATACATCTACATCTATAAAAGGCTAATATGCAAAGTGTCCCCTCCGGAGTGTAACTGAGAGACTGGGAGTTCAATTGCTCACTATAACATGTGCTGACCACCAGGGGGCAGCATGGAATGAGGGGAGGCCCCGGCCGGCAGACAAAAGGCCCCTATCAGCCCTAATTGCTGGCCAGGACCCTACCTGTGCATGTATTTCATGCACCGGGCCTCTAGTAGAAATATAAATTAATAAGCTAAACCGTGATGTTTATAATTAAAGATAGGTAATTTCTAAACTTTGAACAATTCATAACATCCTTGATGATACAAAAATGCTCTCATAAATTGCAGAAATACTGATTCTTCATGGATGCAGGGCCAGAAGGTGCTTTGTAATTTTGTTAAGTGTGGTGTGACAGTCAAATGTCTCAGGACAGAATTCAAGTCCTTGGTAAACCCCTGGGCGGCACGGTACCTTTAGTTTATGAATACCAAATTCTGGCATTTAAAAAAACCTGACAGCCCCTGGGACTCCCTGGCCATGGCCCGTAAGAATGAGAGAAGGCCTCGTATGTTTGGATCAGTGTGCAGGTCATTGGTACACCTTTGCAGCCCACCAGTGGTTGCAGACCCTCTGAAACGGCTGCCCCAGGGCCACAGTCTTCCAGTAACTTCTAATTCACGGGCTGCACGGTGCACCATGCCTTTAGCTGCTTGGGAAAGAGAACTGGTGGGAGGCACGCTCTCCCTGTGTTCCCTGCTCTGGCCTGACCCCTGTGCCTGTGTTTCTAGGACCCCTCAGCCCTCTACTCGGGAGTGAAAACCGCAAGCATTTCAGACGATGACTACGAGGATGCTATTTAAGTCATGGAAGACCTTGCTCTTTACAAAGCACCTGTGACCCAGGCCCCAGAACCAGTGCGTCCTTCAGAGATCTGGGGACTCCGCTGTCCAGTAGCCTCACCCAGGGGAATGCCCTCCACGAGACGATTTCCACCTCCACTGGAAGGCAAAGTCGGCTCAAGCCCCGAACAGACCACCCCAGAGACCGACCCCTCATGAATGAAGAAAGGGGAAGGCCTCTGCTACCAGAACCTGATGCTTGTGGTTCTTTCAGACCCGGGTCAAAGTGTGCTCTAACTTCTTTTTCTAAGAGGAAACAGGACAGGATAAAAGTACTTAGGACTTTGGGGTCGAGGGAAAGCGGGGCTTAGGGTGCACAAAACCCCAGGTTAGTGATCTTGTGGGACTTCACCATACAGAGCCGTGTCCATCATGGGGTTCAGGTGCCTTTTCTGCTCAGACGGTACTGACCACTCACATCAATCTTCCTGTTTCTCCATAAAATATGTGACTCGTCGCATTTGAAGTCACTGTTACCACACCAGAATTAAAGCAATGTTACCTAAGACATCACTGCAGTTATGCTCCATGTTAGCGTATTTTGTATGTACGAGCCCATCTGGATTGGTAGTGAGATACATTTGTGTTGTCACACATCCAGTGTTCTGCCTTTGCTGCAGCTCCAGGAGCTTTGTGAATATAATTTTTTATTCACAAATGTTGTGAAAACACGTGATAATAGGATTTGGAGTTTGTATTTTAATTTTATAAGTCAATCATTTGCTAACACTTACAAATCTAAACAATATAAAGCATAAAATGTAAAAAATTAAAGTCTTCCCTGTAATTTAACACAAGTGGCCCCCATTGTTAAACATTAAGCATTGTTAAATTCACAGCTCTGCAGAGATTTTTCTATTTTTGTACAGGCATTTATACATCATTGTAAATATGTAAATATTTAGAAATATACCTATTTAATAAAATACCATGAAATATTTTTTAAAAGTTGAAAATGCTACCATTCATTCCTCTAGACAAACATATCAATGCACAAATATGATGAATATAAAAAGAAAATTATATGATAAACTCAAAAACAGCCTCTGATTCTGAATTCTGTCAATGTTCTTACCTTTTGTGACAGCATGAATGGACATTATTACCGTATTTGCCAGCGTATAAGACGATTTTTTGGCCCTGAAAAATATGCCTCCAAGTGGGGGGTTGTCTTATACGCCAGGTACACTTCAGATAGACTGCCCATAGTGCTTGCCCCGTGCCATAGTGGCCTCCCGATGCCCGCCCACTTCATTCCACATACCGTTCAGGCATCAGCAGCGCTGCTGGGTGTATGCTCGGCTGTTATGCGATTTTGCTGTTATGCGATTTTACCACACTCGCAAAATCGCACACAGCCGACCATACACCCAGTATGATAGCGCAAAATCACGAATCGCGATACCATACTGGGTGTATGGTTGGCTGTGTGCGATTTTGCGAGTGTGGTAAATTCGGGTTACCGTATATTTCTTTACATATGCATTGAAGATTCGCGATTTTGCGCTATCATGGTGCCTGTTAGAATGTTGAAGAGCTCGCACTTGCGCACTAGTGAGGTCCCAGGGAGATGCTGATGCAAGGGTGGACCAGACTGCTATAGTGACAGGGCGGGCAAACAGGGAGCAGGGACCAATCAAATCAGGCTTTGTATACAGCCAACAGCCAACCACAATACTGCCCCATTGTACAGTACAGCATAGAAAATGTCGACCAGTCAAACCCCTATCATCCCTATCATGGCACCAAGATGTCGTTGATGAACTTTTAATATCAGATGATGAAGAGGAGTTTGAAGGCTTTTAAGGTGAAACTGTCACGCCAGCAAACTTGCTAGGGACTTGCCCAGGAGAG